AGAAGCCAAGGCCACAGTGGTGCCCCAGCTGCAAGACAAGAAGTGCCCCCTCCCTAAGGAGTTGATGAAGTACAAGAGGAGCTTGATGCTGAAGAAGAGATAAAGATGGAGACAGAGAGAGAGCAGCAAGAGGCAGGCCCCAGCACGACCACCCAACATTCTTTATGGGACATCATGCTTAGTACTGAAGCTAAGCAGGATGAGATCTTTAGTCTCTTGAGGGGTAGAGCTAGTAGTGCTGCTAGACCTGCAAGAGAGGAGTTAGTGGAGCTAGTGGAGACGCTGAAGATTGAGAGGGTTATTTCTGTTCTTGGTGGTGGAGTGTTTTTCTATTTCTTCTTTGGTTGATGAATTTCTTCTTTGGGTGTTCTTGGGGATATTTGTAGATGTTGTGGATATCTATTTCTGTTCTTAATAGTGGATGGTTGTTTTATAGATGTTTGTGGATAGTTGAAATTTATATTTTGATCACTTTTTGTATGGATGGATTGAATCATTGGTAGTACTATAACATCATATTCTATGGAATGAATAATTTAGTTATCAATTTTATTTGTTTAAATGCATATGTAGAATTAGCACTTTGGTAATTCTTGATAATAAATGAAACAAATGTGCATTCGAAGGTTGCTTGTTAAAATGACTAAAGCATATGATTGGTTTGACACCTCAACTTAGCAACCAAGACTTGAAACCACATTTCTTGAAAAACTGGTATTATCTCTATACTTAAATTGTCAAATGCACATTAGTATTTGTCATTCTTAAGGTACAAGATAATCAGACTCGAAAATTGAATCGCTATATACCCAACATTCCTTGAAACACCCGACATAACCAGTGGAGATGACAGAGAATATCATGGTAAGTTTTGAGCTTTGCGATGCTTTTTGAGAGGATATCCACAATTACTCAAAGTAAGCTCTTTCACTTTCATTTTTTCAATAATCTCATTAACCTTGCTTTGATTGACGCAACTAAAGTGATCTATTTACATCTCCCACAAGCAATTTTTGCATACGACACATACATGTACATATACTTGAGAAAGGATCTTAGGCCATCTTTGATTTAACTTTGAGCCTTAGACATTTCTTTCACAAAGTATATCCCTAGTCAGCCATGTTTGAGCTTTCAATAAATGAGTTCTTTTTCAAAAAACCCATACGATAACCAAGCTACAAGAAAATATACTTGACATACCTTGCTATCTAATTTTCTTACACCCTCTTATAAATCAGTATGATATAGAAAAGCAAGAGAAAGAGAAAAGACAATGGTGGTTACTGTTCAATGAAAGAAAANCCAAGCTACAAGAAAATATACTTGACATACCTTGCTATCTAATTTTCTTACACCCTCTTATAAATCAGTATGATATAGAAAAGCAAGAGAAAGAGAAAAGACAATGGTGGCTATTATTTAATGAAAGAAAAGTCGATGAAAACAACCGAAAAGGAAAAGAGACAAGAAAAACAGGGAATTGCCAAGAAAGTGAAAAATAAGAAAAGTGAAAGAAAGAAATACAAGTTCTTGGAAAAAAAGACTGAAAAGTAAGAAAGAAATGTGCTACAATATATAAGGAAAAGATAGCTTTTTGAATACCATTAACGTCATTTCGTTAGCCACTAACCTTTGGCCACATTGCAACCTACAAAAAGTCCTAATTGATCTCAAGTCTGATACATGTGTAGGTTGCCAACTACACACGGGATATGCTAAATAACATTTCTTTATCTGCATCAATTTTCCTCCATGAGATTATGTCAAACCATGATTAGTTTGTTTCCTTAAACTTCACTTCTTTACCAATTGCGCATGTGATTTTTTCGACTGGCCATCTTCTGATTACATGTCTTGTGAGAAATAAGTCACTATAATCGGAGTGATTTTTTGCTAAGAGCACTCTAAGAGAGGTTTGTGAAATCAAAGTTATCCATAGAAGATGGTAAAGTGGAATATTTGTTATATAGCAATTCTTGTTTCTAGAATGATTACTCCCATTACTCAAGGAATCCCAAATGCCAATTTGACAGATGCCAATTTTTGCATAGAATAAATAACTATGAAAGAGGAGCATGCGGGGATGTAAGTCGAAATTGAGGGTTGGGTGTCTCAATGACCACAAAGCTAACTTATTTCAACTAACAACCTCAAATACATATTTGTTCGATCAAAATTTGTGGGTAGCTTCACTAAAAAATCTCACGAGACAACGCTCGTCCATTAGGGTAAGCCTAGTGGTTCAATGGCTTGTTGCATATGCTAAATGCAACTGGATGACCTACGAAAAAGGGCATTAGAAATAGATTTACATTACAATGTTGTTATATTACTAGAGACTGACAATATTTAGGTTGGGGGGTGTGATTAGTGCTTAAAGTTAGCATTTTACTATGCCTTTTTGGGACTAATTGTGCTTTAAGGGAGTTTAAGCAATGAAATTTTAGGTCCTAAAGTGAACAAGAGCTCAAGGACAACAAATATCACATTTGGATTTAACACCAGTGGATATAGGGGCAAAATTGGAATAGCTTGGCACAAAGCAAGAACGTTTGAACGTGGATCAACGTTCGAACGTTCCCTTGAAGTGATTGAGGACCAAGCTGTTGAGACATGATGTGTTGCAGTCAAAAAGGAAAAATGATGAGGTACTTGAGTACCACGTTCGAACGCCCACTCACATTTGAACGTGCTCTGAAAACCTAAGAAGATTAGACTACTGAGTCCTGCTAGAGTGTTGCAGCGAAGACAACAAAACCACAGAAGTACTTGAGTACAACGTTGGAACGCCACTCCACATTCAAACGTTGTCATGAGTTACTGAGGACCAAGTTGCTGAGTGCAGGGCCAAAGTTGTTCAAGACGTATGATAGTAACCATCACAAAGACCACAGGCCACTTGAGTAGGGGGTTCAGACCCCATCTGGTGTTCGAGTGCCCTTAAAGCAAAGACAGAGATAACTTTCGAATGCCACTCCACGTTCGAACTCCCTTAAAACAAAAATAGACACAACGTTCGAACGACAGATCACGTTCGAACGTCCCACTGACTGGCTGCAGAGTTGTTCGCTTTTCACTTGGACTTGAGCGGCAAACACTATTCCTTCACCCCCTCCTTTTCCTTGTCTATAAATACCCCCATTGTGGGAGCTTCATGGAAAGAATCATTTTCTCTTGAAAAGTAGGGTAGAGAGCTAGTTCTTGTACATTTCTTGTTTGTATTTTCATTTTGTATTTGTATTAACCATGATGGAGGCTTAGACTCCCCTTGTAGTTGAAGTCTTTTATTTACTTGTGCTAAGTCTTTACATTCATGTTGTGACAATCATGATGGAGGCTTAGACTCCCCTGTAGTTGTACTTGCTTTTATTTACAAGTATCAAGAGAGATAGCTCATCTTTTGGTTGTGGTGAAAACCCTCCAAAAGTAACTAGCTTTCTTCTACTTTATTTCACTTCCATTTTTTGAGCTTCATTCTTCCTTAGAGGAGTGAAACTCTTTTACTTTTCTAGAGCTTTACCAAAGCTGTGAAGGGTGGAACGTGATTCACTTATTCTTTGGTGAAGATCAGCTCCTCGTTTATTGTACTTTACTTTATAAGTTCTCTACTTGGAGGGATGAACATCACTCACTTTTCTAAGCCATGAAAAGTGAGTAGTTCCTCATTCACTCTTTAGTAAGAGGTGATGAATATGTAGAAATTATCCGGGAGTTATATTTGTGTAATCTATTTATGCTTTAATGCTTTATATTTCACTTGTTCATTGAATGGTTGAATGTATCTAGCAAATCTAAGGTACTTTGTCTAACCATGAGTTCTTTCTATGTCACAGATGACTCTTGCATGGAAAAACCTGTTGGTTTAAGACAAGTACCTAGGCGATATCTTTATGATACATTTCAATATTCACTATTATTATGTTTTATCTAAAGAATAGAACATTAATGTCATGGTTGGATGCCTTGTACAAACACTTGCTTGTTTGTAGACGAGTTAAATCTCGGCATAGACAATTCTTGTCCACTTGTAGAAAGGCATCAGAATCATGTGCTTAATTCTCACAGTCCATCTTTATCTTCCGATTAACTTGCTGTTGACATGAGAATTAGTTGAGTTATAAAACACAAGTATAATAAATCGGATGATTAACCACATATTCTGATCCTCAAGTTAAAGAGTGATTGTTTTACATTTTAATTTATCTTATATTTTGTCTAGAAAACTCTTAAAAAGAATCTTCTATTTTATTCAAGAAATCTTACAACTTGACCGACTGTGCTTGGGTGTGCACATTTCGGATCAAGTCAAGCCTATTTCACAAAATCACATTTGTTGAAAAAAAAAAAATGTACAAGACAAAATCTATTCAATCATATAAAGCATTAGTTCTCTCTATCTCTCTAAATCATCCACACGCTATCTTTCTGTCACACCTCTTTCCGTCTTATTGCTTCATAAAATACATATATTTAAACCCACTTAAAATAGCCCATTCAATTTTGCTGGTACGAGGGCTAAATCTAACTTTGATCTATCAAATGTTAAATTTCAACATTTGAAAGTAACACTAATAAATCAAATTTTATTGTTTTATATTTTTAGGGCTTTTGTTTAAAGTCAAGGTTATATATGTTTTTTTTAAAATTATAGATTATTTTTTGTTGTTTGCATTTTTTTTTGGTTGATTAAAATAGACAACCATCTAGATAGAAAATCTTAAGATTCAAAATTTGAGAATATAATAATTTAAAAATGTGCATTTACACTCGTGACAAAATTTGGTTTTAAAAAAATTGACAGACCTTGTTCAAGTTAAACATTTTAGATCTCAATTTGTATATGGCCGCCCCACGTCAAGGGTGTGAATGTGTGATTCAGCCACTCTGATACAAGCTTCTTTGAAAGTCTTGGTGTAACTTTATATCTCGGTCTACCAACTCAGCTATACCGAAGCATTACTCCTTACGCAGAAGTATCAAAGACTTTTGAAAGTAAACGCTAAACAATTGTGTTTTGGACCAAAAACAGGGAACTCTCCTCCCCAATCCAAATAGCTGTACGGCCTTAGACACCTGCAGTAAAGTGTCACAAATTCATCAGGAGTACTGCGTCTCTTGTTCTCAGCTCAAAAGTATTCGGCAAATTCAAGTCAAGTCACTCTCTTCTTGCCCGATTGTGTCTACTTAGCTGGAAATAAGTGAGCCCATAGGATTCTGAAGGACTTGTAGGTATTTCAAACTGTTTATTTCTGAATTTCTTGCTTTCTTATTACTAAACAAAACCAAAAAAATAAAAAAAAATTGTTGCTTTGTTGTTTAGTTATGGTGCAGAATATTTCATGCCCATTATTCATTGAAAATCAAGTGGAAGTCAACGGTTATCCATTTATGTCTGAATTGAGTTTAGCTTTATTGAGGTTTTAGCACTGTTGTACGGTTTTGTTAGCTTCTAATATTTGTTAGTTCTTCATGTTTTGAAGATTTTCCTCTGTTTTGAAAACTGGGTGAGTAACAGAATCATTTTTCGAGTTGCTTTGAGTATTTCATGACTTATTGAGTACTGGGTTAGATAGAAAGATTGATAATAGAATTGTTTTGAGGATTTCACCTAATTTGATAAGTGGGCTGTTCATAAGATGAAAAATTCAGTGTTATATAAGATTTTGCACTGCTCTGAAAAGTGTATAAATAGAGCTCGAAGAATTAGTGTTCTTATATGGTGCTTTCGTTGAATTGTGGACAGGATTGTACACAGGAACTGAACTCTTAATTTGGGCTCTGAGTTGCACACTGATTTTTGTTATATGGTTGCAAAAGTTCTGTGAATTTGGCAGATTTTTGAAAAGGGGTGTTCTATTTTTTGGGCATTTAGTTCAGTTATCTTGGTAGCCTCACTTCGATTCTCTTGCTGGATGATTCTTTCAGATAGCTGGGATGATGAAATTGAGTCAGACTCATGTTTTTGTTTATAGGTTGGGACAGAAGGTATATAAACTGTAAGGTCAGCTGCTAATTTTTCAGACAGATTCATGTTCTTTGAAAGACTTTGATGCATGATAGCTTCATCAAGTAAAACTCAAGTTATGGAATTTGCAAATGAACTGTCATCATCTTTGAGCTTTGTTTCGTCCTCCTATCTATCAAATGGGTCCAGTTCCCACAATGTTCCTTCCTCCACTGGCTATGAGCCAGGTGCCAACCTTGAATTGTTGAGTTTGAGTAAACTAAGTGGCAGTATTGAGAAGCTCCTGGTTGATGCTGAATATGACTATAGTGATGCAGATATAATTGTTGAGGGAATCTCAGTGGGGGTTCATCGGTGTATTTTAGCTGCACGAAGTCTATTTTTCCATGAGTTGTTTAAGAAGGGTAATGATAACTCTGTGAAGGAAGGAAAACCAAAATATCTCATGTCTGAATTGGTGCCCTACGGCAGGGTAGGATACGAAGCATTTACTGTTTTCTTGAATTATTTGTATACTGGAAAGCTTAAGCCATCTCCGTCAGAGGTGTCAACATGTGTTGATAATTCTTGTGTCCATGATGCCTGCCGCCCTGCTATTAATTATGCTGTGGAACTGATGTTTGCTTCTGCTACTTTTCAGATGAAAGAGCTTGTAATGCTTGTGCAGGTAAGTCCTATACCCAATTGGGGTTTAATTATTCTCTTAATGAATGAATCTCACCCTATAGACATTTCTATGTTCCTCTTCCGGAATATACTACTTTGGGAAATCCTGTTACTTCTGAAAATAATTTCTTTATGTTGCTCGAGTAAAAGAAAGATATCTAAGTCCAAAGTAACCAACCAGCAGTAAAAGCCACTAAGATGAAGAACAGTGTCTTTGTTTCTTGAGATCATTAGGTGACTGTGCTTCAACTATCACTCCTGGTATCATCGAATGCTCTATGTTTAATGACAGTGAGCAACTTATTTCCATGAGGTGGTCCAAAAATATAGTTCAACAAATATACTGATGTGCTGTTTATAACACACGTAGAGCATTCTTGAATCACTTATTATGTTACGTGAACTTCTAGATATATAACTTTACTTCATTTATCTTAATGGCTGCTTCAGATGTAATGACATTGAGAGATAGGTTTAGTGACAGATTGCTAGAGAGATCATGAAATGCTTTTGGACTAGCAAGCTCTTTGTGCTAAATTAAGCGTTGTCAATTATTGCTATAGTTAATTCAAAACTGGTAAGAGAGATTGTGCTCACTTATCTACGGATTCAAATTCGAAAACAAATAATCTATATAATAAGGTAGGTAGACTGTTTGTTTTGAGCTTTTCACAGCTCAGATTTTTTTGATCCAATGGTCCTAATTAAACTTTTATTCTTTTTACAACTCAAAAACTCTCATCTATTATATAACTCTCCCTTTCTCTCCCATACTATTATTTATTTATTTTTTTTCCTGTGTTGTTTTTGTTAATATTTTCTCCATAAAATAGATGAAATTACATGTTATGCAATTATTTATTCCATGAAACTAATTCAAAGTTTTTATATATTTGACGGCATGTATTTTGTCACTTACTTTTTAATTTGTAAATAACACTTAATGTAAATAAAAAAATAGCACATTAACTATAAACACCAAATAATATTCAATACAAAATGAACCTTAGATTGTAAATTAATATATAATTTTATCAAAAGTTGACATTTAATATTGTCCAATTTATATTCAAATTTGTCAAATTAATATCAAATTAATACTGAAATTCATTTAATCAATTTTTTGGATAGTAAATTAAATTTTATTTGATTTTATTAATTTTTTAATTTTTTTTGTACTAAATTTGAAGAAAGACAATTGTAAAAATAATAATTTTTTTGGGATGAAAATATCAATTTTCATTAGCAATATTGACGGAAGAAAGATATTAGGTCTCCGTGACCTCAGGGGGTTTCCGTGCTATTTATAAAATGCTAGGAGGTGTCTTTATAACATTACCAAAACTCAGGGGATGTATGTGGTTTTTATCCTATTTTTTAATGAAACATTAATTTATTATTATTTATCTTAAAAAATTGAATTATTGTATTTTTAATAAAAACAATTATTAGTTATGAGGGTTTGTTAGTAACCAAAAAGAAATGTGTGTGGGTGTGTTTCTGTGTATATTTATATGTGGAGGATTGAACATTTGATGGTTAAATTTATAATTATATTGTGTTATTTGAGGTTTAATAGTGATAGTGGAGATAAATTCATGAGTTTTATAAATAAACATTTGATTAATTTTATTTATCACTTAAATATTATGAATTTAATTGTGTTATGTTAGTATTTTTCTTTTGAGATATTTATTATATGGGGATAAGATGGATTGAAAATATGGTGGTTTAGTTTATAATTATGTTGTTTTATTGGATTGAGTGATAGTAAATGTAATAAATTCGTGAGTCTTATAAATGAATAAGATTTTATTTATAACTCAAAGATTATAAATTTCAATGGGTTATGTTAGTATTTATTTATTTTTGCCAGAGACATTTATATATATGATTTTGTTTTAGAGAGTTTTTATATATTTTTATGACAGTTCCATTAGCGGAGGATATGGTCGACGATATATTTCAAGTCATTTTGAAAAAATAATTGAGATGAATATTTTTAGGCCATTCTTTTTGAATTTAGACAATTGTGTAAAATTTTTTTGTTTATTATATAGTGCTTTCAAACTTGGTGCACCAAGTTTGGTGAGTGGAAATTGCTTGTATAATTATAGGATAACAAACAATAAGAAGGGCCCTCCTTCTCATAGGGAGAACAAATTCTTAAATAGACCAAAATTCTTACTTAACTAGGTACTTGCATATAGATAAGTCCAATTTGGCCTTATCTTGATTGAAAAATCTTCCAAAGTGACTCCAACGACTTTCTAGATTTTATTGTTTTAAGTGCTCATGGTGTTGACCTTAGCTTTACTACAACTCTGTGGGAATTTAGCTTAATGGCCAAAGCTTTCCTCAGTTTTTTTCTTCCCTAATGGCGAGCTTCAACATCTTACTACTAGTAGAGTTCTTATTTCTTTATTAGACATAAGTTAATTAGAGTAGGGTAATAGTGTACATTACCTGAATATTACTCAGTTATCAATAAAAGAGTATAGGACAACCTAATCTACACAACTGATTACTCTTTCCTGTCTATTCTCCTCTTTTTCTTTCTTCTTATCGTGCTTTCTCTAACCTTAATATTACTATTTCTATTTCAACTTGGCATCAGCGTGAAAAATTTTTATTAGAAAACACAGTAGAAGACTCTTGGATGTTTTTTTGTCGTAGTTGATGTCATTGTAAGTCGTCAGCACTTCCCAATCGTCGAAACCCACCTTCTAGCTCAGAATCTATTGTTGATAATTGTGGTAATTTTTGTGGAATTTTTTGAAGTCATCTGAATAGGTTTTGCTATTTTTGAATGATTTTGGTGAAAATAGAGTCCAATTTTGCAGCTTGTCGATTATGACCTTTGTGATAGTTTTTGATGCTTCAAACACTATCTAAAGGGGTGCGAGTAAGAGATTGGAGAGTGTGTTTGAGTTTCCCAATTGCTTTTTGGTGTTTTCTGGCCCCACAGACTGTCGAATATGAGTTTGGTCACTCTTTTGACATTGCCAATGTGGTTTTTTGGCTCCTGGGTGTGTTTTTGTGGTTCCTGAGTGTTTTTTGAGCAGTGGGTACTGTAATTCTGGTGTTTTTGGGCAAGTTCTGCTTGATCTGTTGCATTGGCCTTTGTTTGGTGGTGTTTTTCCAATTCCTTTGTTACGATTGTGGATATATGTGAATTATCTATTTGTTTTATTCTCAACGATTGTTTACCTAGTTGTGGGTGTCTCTATGGCGACTTCAGAGAATGTGAAGGATACTTTAGTGGATGGTTAGGCAAGGTAGGTTCATTTAGTGGATTATCAAGTTTGACAAATTACCTATGTCAAATTGAATGGGACTAATTTTTACTCTTGGTCCCATGCCATCAAAGTTTTTATACGTGTCAAAACAAAAATTAAAGTATTTGACTGAGAGTCCTCTTGAGATCTCTAAAAATTCTGAATATTGTTAGAGTGAGAATTCATTAGTGATGACATGGTTGTAGGTTAGCATGGAACTCGTTATAACTTGTAATGTTCAACTTCTTGATACAACTAAGAAGATGTGAGATTCTCTAAGGAGATATATTCACAGGAACATGTGTCCCGAATTTATGAACTCTTTGAGCGTATGTTTTCTACAAAACAAGGAAAGAAATCTCTAGATGAACCTTATAATACTTTGAAATGGTTGTGGGAGGAACTTATGTTGTATCAGTTATTGAGTGTAGATTTGAAGGTTCAGAGGTGACAGTATGATGAATTTCAGGTTTCTCTGTTCTTGTCAAGCCTTAACTTCAAATATGGTAAGTTTGAAGATCAGATTTTGGCTAGTGAGAAACTATTGACCACTGCCAATGCTTATTCTCGCATTCAGCGAGCCTCTCTAACTCGAAGGGCTCCTTCATCCTGAAAGGAGTCATCTGCTTTATTCTCTAGTGGCAATAGTTGGTTGCCATCCAACCCCAAGTGGTCACCGTGGTGGTAGAAGCATTAGTTGTGGAGGACGTGGTGGTCATAGTGGTCGTGGCAATAGTTCTGAGTGGAAATGTTCTTATTGTGGAGTTGTTGGACATACTGAGGGTTATTAAGGGATAAACATGGCAGACCAACCCATTGATGTAGATCAGGAAGGTCTAGAATTCACAGAATAAAAAGAAAAGAAGAAAGAGGGGGTAGAAGGGGTTTACCTCATCCTCACAAGGAATCGGTGAAAAAACAAATTTCCGTAGAGAATATTCAATTCTTATTCATAATTTCTCCCCTCAAAATAATTGGGATTACACCTTTATTTATAGGCCTAGTTCCCTATTAAAATAAAAACTACTTTCCTACTAAAATACTAGAAGAGTTTCATAATGAAACTCTCAAATCCTTATTCTACTAAAACTCTATAATAATTTTTTAGTCAAACTCTAATTAATACTCCTAGTCAAACAAATATTCCTTAACTAATAAAATAATACTAAAACAAATAATAAAAATTTAATTCTTCAATTTAAGCTCATTCAATCTTTTTTTGGTTTCTATCACCCATGCTAATCTGGTTTCTAATGACTTGATTCCTTCCATCTATGAGCCATCGACTGGTGGACATATTACATCTACATTTGGATCTCATGATGATCTTACTTCTCAACTCAATCAGCTCATCGAATAGTTGTCTTTCCTCTCACTCCATGTGCATATTTCAGTTGCTGGTTTGATCACTGCGGGTAATTTTGCACATGTGATAGCTCAATAAGTTTCACCATCTTGGATTTTTAATTCAGGAGTTAGTGCCCTCAAATATGGTATTTCTTCTTTGTTTTTCAACATTCGTTTTGCAAACTCTCGTAAGGTGTTAGCTGATGACTCTTTTAGACCAATACATAGGACTGGTGAGCTCTATCCCATTGAATCAATGTTGTTAATATTTGGTTGATTTGCCATTCAGTTTTCATTTAACCTGTTATCTGTGAGTCAATTAACCAAGTTATTACATTGTTCAGTGACATTTTCTCTATCTTCTTGTGTTTTTCAAGATCTCTAAATGAAAAAGGTGATTAATTTGGGGTATTAGTAGATTGGGCTTTATTTTAATTCCAGAGCTGTCTTTCTTGCCCTGAGTGCTACCATGTCTCCCTTCCGGTGGTAATTTTGATTGGGTCATCTTTCACTACAAAAACTTTGTCACATCATCCCTAGTATGAGTTCTTTTGTTATGTTAGAATAGAGGTTTGTCAATTAGGCAAGCATTACTTTAATTCTTTCCTTCTAGTAGTACGAGTCGTTAGTCTAGTCTTTTTGCTATTGTTCACTCTGACATTTTGGTTCTCCAAGAATAAAAAGTGTTTCTAGATTTTATTATTTTGCAATTTTTGTTGATGATTATTCTTGTATGACTTTGTTGTTTCTTATCAAGGATTGTTCTGAATTGCCTAAATTGTTTTTTACCTTTACAATGAAATTCTTTTATAGTTTTATAAACATATTAAA